TTCATGATCTCGTTAATCTGCTTGCGGATGCGCTGGATCTGGTTCGCGTAGATGAGAATGTCCGACGCCTGGCCCTGCGTCCCGCCCAGCGGCTGGTGGATCATGACGGAGCTGTGCGGCAGGGCGTATCTCTTGCCCGCCTCGCCTCCCGTCAGTAGCAGCGCTGCCATGGAGGAGGCCGCGCCGAGGCAGACTGTCGATACTGGTGATTTGATGTATGTCATTGTGTCGTAGATGGCCAGCCCTTTTATCTCTTCGTCAGTCCCGCATCTTCCATATTACGCTGTTTAATGGCGAATTGGGGTATCCGTCGAACCTGATGATACTGAGCCTCCTGGGGAGTTGATGTACATCGTAATCGCCTTGTCGGGGCTATCGGACTCGAGCCACAGGAGCTGTGCTACTATCGATGCGGAAACGGTATCGTCGATCGCGCCATTGAGGCAGACAATGCGTTCCTATGCATGTGTCAGCTTGATGCGCGCGACATCTCGAAGGGTCTATAGAATCGTACCTGAAGCAGCTTGGAAAAGATGTCGTCTACCTGCGTGGTCAGCGAGGGGGGGATACCCAATTACAGAAGCAGTCGCGGTGTACTAACATGTCCTCCAACCATTCGACTAATCAATTAGCTTTCGCGACCAAAGTATCTCCAAATAGCCATGGGTAGACGAACCGAAACCTCGGTGATGTAAGGCAGAGGGATGTTTCCAACAGGTGGGCTGCTGCTACCGCCTCCTGCGACGGGAGGGAAGCCCGGCAATGGGAAGTTTGAAAAGGCCCTGACGTGCTGCCGCCGCGGGACGGCCCTCAGGGCTCGGAATAATGTTCTTTGACAGTTCATGGCGGAGGGTGCGAAAGCAATGGCGCATGTGTGGTGTTGCAGTGTCAAAGAGGAACCAAGTAGAAAGTATGCGAAAAAGCGGCAATCGACGGCAGCAAGCACTGGTGGGAGAGGTGTGACGTCCGCTGGGAAAGCTGGTTGGCCCCTGTGCGCGCCCCCGAGCTCCGAGCTTCCCCCACGCGTCCCTCGTCTAAAAATTGCCCCGAGGCGCGTAAAGCTCTTTTTTTCGTCTGCGCCGTATTCCTGAGCTGGGCCGCCACTCCGGGGATCCCTTCCGAATCTTCAAGTCTCTGGGCGATTTGCCAACGTCCGATCTGTTGCGCACCCATTGCAGCCGGCAGTCCCTCTCCTATCTGGCCAAGCGTGACCAAACGACCACACCGGCGACACTTTGCAACAATCGCTCCCTCCTCCGGGGGTCTTTCCCTCGACCGCGATGAAGCCATTCCCAGGCATTCGACGAGTGCCCCGAACTTCTCACAGAAGCTATGGCACAACCCCCCCGGCCAGACCGGGGCCCGTTTTCTTGTCCAAGAAGTACATAAGAGAAAGAGAAGCCAAGGCAGCGGGTAGGGCACCGCCGATACCGCCAATATCGAAGAAAGAAGCAAAAGCACAAGCGATACGAGATGCGCCGAAGCGCAGGGCAGAGGAAAGACAGGCGCACTTCACCAAGAGAATCCAAGAGGTCCTAGGCCACGACGGAATCGCAAAAGACGTACGGATCGACAAGGAGAACAAGAAGGTCAAGACGTCCGCGGGCGACCTGCCCATCTCGCCCGTCATGGACCCCGTGTGGATGGATGTACGCACGAGGTACCGGACGCCCAAGCCCAGACCGAAATCCAAGAGCGACAAGGTCCGGGATTATTCTTTGTCTTCGTCTGGGGCGGCACCGAGGAAACACAAGTATAAGACTAGGATGGGCAAAGACAAGAAGACGCGGAGCCCAAGGCTCATTGTCATGAACAAGTTGCCCAACGGGGGCAGGTTCCGCGTCAAGTTGGAACAGAACCCGTACGGTCAGTAGCGGGAATCCCCCTCCTATTTGTATGAGGACTCCGAGGAAGCGGAATGCTGATGTGACGGACCTCTTGCAGTACATGCTCTCGCCTCGCCTGTCCGATTCTGTCCCGTCACGGGGACGTCTCTGCCGAAATACTTTCTTCAAAACTTCAAGGCTGTTACGAATCCGGACACCCAGGGGCACTGGTTTATACCAGGCGACGTTGAAGTATCGTGGACACATAAAGACGCCATGGAAGAGGAGCTTAGGAAGCTTGATGATATGGAGAATCGGTCAGAAAAGGTTGACGACGTGGAGAATGGTGCTATTAAGCAGGGGAAGGACGATTCGAAAGAGCTCAATGAAGTGAATGGCGAACCGAGGAAAGCTTGCAAAGGGGAGGGCAAATCCAAGAAGGCCGACAATGCAGAGGACGAGTCCAAAAAGTGTTCCGAAGAGACGACCGGATCCACGAAACCTGAAGAGGAGAAGGTCGAATCCAAAAAGCAAAGCAAAAAAGAGCCCCAAACCCTCGACACAGCAGGAAACGACTTTGAGCAGCATTTCACAAACGTAATCGGATCCGAGAAGAACGCCAAAAAGGAAAAGAGCCGCTCTGGAGCCGTATCTCTTCCTCCCACCCCCCAGAAACAACTCCCCGAGGACCCCCTCGTAAAACAAAAAGAAACAGACCAGCTCCTTCTCAAATCCCCCTCCGCCTACGTCGTCTCCCGCAAACCCGTCATCGACTCCATGGCAGGCAAACGCGGCAAAACTCCCTTCGGCGACGGCTGGCGCACCCTCCTCGGCAGGAACCCAAAGGTCATGAACTCGGATATCCCCAAACGCCTCGTCTGGCGCCAGGACATGGGCGATTTTGTTCTAGAGAACCTGCGCAAGAATATCATGAAGTACGTCACTTGGCACGTCGAGGCGGGCGAAGGGCGTAGCTCGTGCATCCAGCCCCTCGAGACGTGGGAAGATGTCCACGACGCCCAGAAGCGGAGCTGTTTGCTGTGGTATGATGCGGCGAATATCACCGCGGGGGAGAGTCGGTGGGACGAGTGGATGAAGAAGGGGAAGGTAAAGCCGTTTGCGACCTACGACGTCCCGGACGCAAAGTACGAAAAGAGCCTGCCCATTTACGACATCGGGCGGCTCATGGGGCCAAAGTACCTCGCGAAGCTGCGGGAGATACCCGTGTTCCGCGAGCGCTCGCTCTTCGTCGTCAAGAAGAAGCGGTCGATTCCGCTGCAGCTGTACCTATGGAAGCTGCAGGCGTACATGGCCGAGTATCCATCCGCGGAAAAGGTCGCCGAGGTATCTGCGGAGAAGAGGAGGCTCGATAGAAAGAGGAGGGAGGAGGAGCGCCAGGAGGAGCTTGTACAGGAGCAATTCAGGCTGGAGGAGGAGGCGAGGGAGGGGTATATACGGGCCAAGGCTGAGCGGGCGAGAATAATTCAGGAGAGAATCCAGCGGGAGATGCAAGGCTTCGATGAACCCAGGGATAAGACGGCAGAGGTCGGGGCAGAACGCGGAGTCGGGTTTGGGAGCAGCAGTACAACCATGCCAAGGCCTATAGCGGCGGCCACGAGCTCGGCCGACTTCACTGCTCAGCTCACGGCGATACCACGAGCCGTGTCCTCACCCAGTGCTTGGAACAGCGCCGCCATCAAGCCCATACCTGCGATCAAGGTCGACAGGAAGGCTGAAGTCCCTAAACGGCCTCCGACCAAAGCCAAAGCGGCAGCCACACCTAGGCGCTCAACCAAAGATGTAGCCACGCCAATGACTGCAGCCGACTTCACTGCCCAGCTCATGGCGACACCCAAGGTCGGTTCTGGATCTGGCTCTCGGGGCAACTCTGCCGTCAAGTCGGTAGCCCCCGCCAAGGTCGTCAACGAGGCCGGTTTGACTTCACCTTTGGCCGAAGTTGAAGGCGGATCTAAGCCTCAGCGTGTCGCTACGACAGCCGAGACTACACCCAAGGCCGATGTCAAAGGGACATCGGAACCCAAAGCAGAGGTCAAGAAGCCAAAGGTGAGAACAGTCAAGCCACGCTGGTAGACTTGCACGGAGCAATTCTCTTTCCCGTCCGGGCAGTCAGGAACCTTGGGTAAGACGGAAGGAGCGGATAGCCATATCAGGATTTATGTACACTGCAGGAACGAAGGGAAGGGATACATCCTTCCTATGTTAGAAGGCGTGATGAGAGTTAAGGACCTGAAGATGGAGCCACATACCCAACAAGAACAAGGGAGACGCTTTGGTAACGTCTCGAAGGATAGGAAATACCCCAATCAGCATTATAATTAAATAATTTCATTAGTCAGGTGTTAACTGAACGGTCTCGAGAGTCCTCTAAGTGGGTTTCTCGGAACCAGTGACCTTGAGGCTAGTCTGAGGTCAAATCAACCTGGCATAGAAGCAATCCTAGCAGCTGCTAGATTCGAATACTAACAGATCTGGACTCTTTTCCACTAATGCTCATGCCTCGGGCGAAAGCTTACGATTGATCACCAAATATTTCCCACTGCCATCAAGAAATTCGAAAGCAAGAGGGAGCTGCCTCTTGGTCCTCCTGCCTCAATCTTGATTCATTTGATCTTGCCTTCCCTGTTTATCCTGCGTTAGACTCTCACGAATGCCTCCTTCCTCTCCTTCTCCTTCTCACTGATGCCACCCTCATTTCGGCTCTATAAAAACCTCTCTTCTTCCTCCAACGACTTCAACCTTACAACTCCAACCTTCCCTCTTCCACGACTTCAACACTTCCGGACGTCAATACATTGCATTCCTTCCAAGCTTCATTGCTTCCGATGTTCCTTGCTTCTAGCTTTCATTGCTTCTAGCTTTCATTGCTTCTAGCCTTCATTGCTTCTGGCCTTCATTGCTTCTGGCCTCCTTCCCTTCTGGTCTTCACCAGTTCCTACCTTCCGGCCTTTACCTCTTGCCCTCGTTGCCTTCAACCCTCTCTTTTTCAAACTTTGATGACAATCTGCTTCTCATCCGCGATCAACATCAAACGTTTTTCCCAAATTTATTGTCTGCTTTCTCTTGCCCTGAAGCTTTCTAGCCTCTCTTCAGACCAGCATCTTACCTAGAGTATTTCACTGCGAGGTCAACAGGCATCTTGCTTCAGAAGCCAGAATGGCTGATGCGTCAATTCTCACCAACATTGGGGACCGAGTTAGGGTGAAGGAGAAGGCGCGTGAGTTCGGCCTTGGTATATTGCAGGAAATACCAAAGATTCTCCAACACATCTCCAACAGCAGTCACAAGCAAGATGTGAGAGACTGGGAGAGTAACCTTCGTAAGTCTGGATTCCATCATCTTTTGGGCTTTGCTAACTTTCGCCTCAGTCAATTTGAAGCGCACATCTCTGTCTCGGGAAATTCTCGTCGGCGTCCAAGGCGAAACAGGTCTGGGGAAAAGCTCCCTGCTCAACGAGCTTCTCCGAAGCGAAATTGTTCCAACGTCACAGGTGGAAGCGTGTACAGCCGCGGTCTGCATTTACGGCTACAATCATGAGTCTGGAGAGAACAAGCGCTACAGCGCCAAAATCACGTCCAAGAGCTGGGCGACGGTCGAAGCTGAGCTGACTGGCCTCAAGGAAGAGCTCGCCGAATCAGACAATCAACGTGAAGCTCACGATGACGACGATGCGGATCAGAGCGAAAGTTGCAGCTACTACAGTAAACGGAACATCGACATGGTTTGCGCTTGGTCTGGTCTGGAGGAGGAAGACATACGAAGTCTATCGCCGATTGAGATCATGCAAAAGGGCAATTTCAATAAGATTCGCAACAGAGGACTCCGGCTACTTACCAACGATAAAACGTGCAGCAGAACCATTTCAGCCCCCAATGCGAACAAGTTCAAGAAGATGCTCAGGCCTTATGCGGAGAGCATGGACCTGAACTCACACCGAACTCAGTACTGGCCGTTGGTGGAACAGGTTGAAATATACCTGAAGGCGCCTATTCTCCGGCATGGGCTTAAACTTGTTGATCTACCCGGAACCCAGGATGCTCTGTCATTCAGGGCTGAGATTGCTGAGACGTTCCAGGACAGACTGGCGAAGCAGATCGTCGTTTCTCCGGCATCCAGAGCAGGAGACAACAAGGCAGCCGCAGACCTCATCTTTACGGAGAACGACTTGATGAAGTTTCACCTGGACAACAAGTTCAAAGCCGATACCCTCTGTGTCGCGATCACAAAGATCGACGACATCCAGACTGCAAATGCGGCGGAGGAATTCCCAACCATAGAGATCATAGAGCTGCAGCGTCGTCTGAGAGGTGCCCCGCCAGAAGAGTCTGAAGATGACGAGTTCAACTCTGAAGCTGAGGACTACACTCGTGTGTCTTTGAAGAAGAAAGGCGGCACCAACAAACGCAGACACGCCTCTGATGTTTCAGGAGATAACAAGAGACAGAGAGTTGACTCCTATGAAGACGACGAGTCCATGACAACACGGCTAGTTGAGGCGCAATTGGAAGAGGAACAGGCGATTGAAGAGGGCGAGTCTCGATTGAAGTATCTCTGCATTCAGGAACGGAACTGCAAAATGGTACAGAACGTCGTCGAAAGTCTGCTAAAGGCCGCAAAAAGCCATGCATCATCGCAAGCAATTGCATCATCCTTACCCGCGGTCATTCCTCTAAGCAGTCATGCTTACAACAAGATGAAGTTTGGCAAGGATGCGACAGGTTTCCCGACCCTCGAGTCGACTGGCATCCCGGCTTTGGGCAAATGGCTTACCGATACGTCGCTTCCCATCAGGGAAGCATGGGTTGACAGCGACCTACATCATATCCAGGTGCTCTTCGACGCAGTTCATGGATGGACCAAAGATGAGTTCGACACCTTGCCCGTTCTCACAACAGATGAGAAGAAGAAAATTCGACAAGCAGTCCGCGAGGTTGGTGATGATTTGAAGGTATGTTGACCAATGACATTTGTCCCAAGAAGGGAATGGCCATATTGATCCGTCATAGGAAATCATAAAGAAGGTGAGGATCAAAATCCAGCGCCAGTTAATCACCATGAAACCGTTGCGAAGGAAGAATTTGGTGAAAACCTACGTTAAAATCCACGAGAACGGGGAAAACCAATTGGAACGATGTTTCGACAATCTCAAGCATGCCATCAAGGCGTGGGAAAGTAAAAACCCAAAAGGTCATGCGTCTTCTGCAGGTAAACACGAGAAGGTGCATTGGGGTACCTATAAGGCTTCTATCAGGAGACACGGCGGTCTTTACAGAACTGTTCCCAAAAAGGGTGCAGTCCGACGCACTTTCAACTGGATGGCTGACGTGTAAGTACCACACGGAGATTCCCACTGGTGTTCTCAACTTCGAGAGCTCAATTGACTAGGAAACAGGCACACATCATTCTGGCGAGGCCACCACGAGAAGTGGCAGACTGCATTCTCGCGGAACTTCCCCACACTCAAAGACAAGGTTAGGGGAACTATACACCTCGCGTTCGATCAATGGATCACAGTTCTTCTAGACAATGAGGACCTTCCGGTGTCATTCCGGGACATGGTGAAGAAGAACTCTTACAAAATGGAGAATGTCTTCCTGCTCTTCACAGACAAGATTGTGGCTAGCATGGACAAACTTCGCGGGAAGGCTTTGAGGATGTCAAAGGTTGACGTTCTCAGTACTCTGACCAAGCAGATGAAGCCGGGTTTCGAAGCCGCGCTCAGCAAGAGGGGTATGTTGTATTGTCTACTGAACCTCGCAGGGAAATACAATGGCTGACATTCAAGCAGGCCCAGGTATCATGAAGAAGCAGTCAGCAGAGATATCTGAGCACGTGGAGACTATTGGTTTCGGCATGTTCGAAATGGTCCGCGATGACCTTGAGGTGAAGCTCCGAGCAGAGGTCCATCAGGTGATGCTCGCTACCAAGAGTTACTGGCAAGATCCTAAAGAAGGCTGTGGAGTGGTAATACAGAAGGAGTTGAAGCGCATTTCGACTCGCCTTGGCGTCAATGGAGCCAAGAAGAATGATTATGAAGGGACAGGCATCGATGAAGCGACGGAGAGGAAGCTCATCGAGCTCATTGGCGTGTGGCAAAAGGAGTGACAGCGAGTTGAGGCGCGACTTCCTCAGGCCGCGCCCTTGATTGCCTTCGACGAAAACGATGATAACGATGACGCGGGCAATGAGTTTGCCAAGGAGGATGAGATTGCTCTCAAGACGGAGCCTGGTGAGACCGAGGAGTAATTTGCGATGGAGAAGAGGGCATTTGGAGGGGATGCTTTCATGGCAGACATGGCTTGCTTTCGTTTTCGTTTTCTTCATCTTGGGCTGATTTTCTTTGCTTCATTTTGACATTATCGAGATGGTAGGGGCAAGTCGAAGGGAGAGGCCGGCCGATTTCTTATCCAGAGGCCAAAGCCGCTCATCAGTTTCTTGCCCCGCCTCTCCAGCGGCATGATTTTCCTTTGCGCTAGGCTTTAGATAGGCACAGATTTTCGAGGTAGCATTGCAATTCACATAATACAGCCGAGTTTCAGCTCATAGCCCTCCGTGAGCTACTAAGTATATGAGTCTGATATGCCTGCTGATACGAGGCCAGGACTACTTGGGCCACCTACATCCGACCCTCTCTAGACAATACAGCTAGTTTTACACGACAGCCTTTATGTGCAGGAGACTCGAACATCTCAAAGACATCGTATTTATACAAGGAGCCCCCGGGAAATTGACAACCTCTCAAAGCCAGCACCAAACTACCACAAGAACTTCCCATAGCAAATTCCGAAAGACATTTTCAAGACGTGAAGGCTGACAATCACAATACCGCAACCTTTTAACCCTCATCAGTCCCAATTCTCAGCCCCACCATCGACCCCATCTCTGCCCCTCCATGCATCTCACCCTGCCCCGCGCCCCGCACCTCAAAAATCCTCACGAAAACCCTCATCCTCCACAACAATCAAACAAGAGTCCTCTCCCTCGCCCTCGTCCCCAACCAGAGTCGCTTCAAGCAGTTCTCAATCATCCAGCGTCGATGGTTTAGTGGTAAAATTCTCCGTTGCCATCAAGCAGCGTCGGGGAGCCGGGGGTTCGATTCCCCCTCGACGCAATCTTTTGTTTTTGGGGGGTTGTGAGTGCTATTACATGTTGGATGAGTCGTTTTTTATGAATTCGATAGGTATTCAAGTACTAGAACGTTGGTTTGGTCCAATTGGGGTCTTCCAGACGCGGTGATGGGATCGTAGTTCACGTCTTGAGAGATTTATTGCGTGATGATCCATAGGAGCAAGGGGATTGGCTTGCTGAGGGGTTGCTGGTCCCGTCCTCAGGGCTTGACAGCATCGGTTAGTGATTACTTGAGAATTAGATATTTGAGAATTTCGGTACGCATGTTGAGGGACTGTATCGGTATATCTAAAGGACGGACAAAGGTAGCCTTGATTGTGCGTTTAGGTGTAAGACGCCACGGTGGTCAGCACGCGCAACCTCTACAAAAGGCGTGAGATGCAATCAGCAGAGACTACATGTACACATCATTTAGTCCTCTTTTCTCGGATCGAATAACGTATCAAGGCCATTTTACCACGCGCTTCAAACGATACCGTATGTGTTTGCTTGCCCTTTCTCCTTTGCTGAAACTGCCGTAACCTGAGGGCCGAGGAGGCACATTGACGATAGTAAGACCCCAGGATGCTAGGAACGGCGAATAGAATATACGTAAGAAGACAATACTTGCTCTCTGAGTGAGATGTATAGTAGAATAGAGTAGAGTCGGCTCAAAATAGAGTCGCCTAAGAAGCCATCAAGCGCGGCGAACATCACATTTTTGGTACAACGACATGTCATCAATGCAAGTAGCCGGCAAGTCAGATAACAAACTAACAACCCAACAACATCCCCCGCACGCAAATTCTCCTCTGGACGGTTTCACATCTGCAATGTTACTCGAAGAAATTGAGTCTAAAACTTCTTGTTAACATCGGACAAGTATCAAGAACTCTATGCCCAGCACTTTCCCGAGCCAGGTCGTAAATTGAAGACATCCAAAAGAGCCCCCGCGCGTCGCGCGCAACCCGTCTCAAACCCACAGACGTGATCAACAATGTAGATCACCAAACCCAAACCACACCCACGGGTCCCTTCTCACGCGAGGATGTATCTCAAGCCCTTCCCGCCGATCTCACAACCCAAAGATGATCAACTTCAGCCCAACTTAAAATCAAGCCCGACCCTACCGGTAATCCTCTCAGCCCTAGCAGACGCCAAGCTCACCACAAGCTTCAGCCTCAAGTTCTCCTCCCCCAGAGATCTCCCCCTCCCATCCCATCTTCATCCTCTCTGCACCAATGATAGCTACATGAATGACATGACACCAACACCGACCTACAAGCCACGTCCACTAACGACGGAAAGATCCGAGAGGGACAGGCCGGATCACCAACCCAAGGGATCTCGCGCGACCAGACACTTGACAGAGGTGGGGAGGACGAGCGGGTGCTAATTGCTGACGTAGTGACCCAGGAATTAGATACCATTAGTCTGCTCTGCCTACTCTACCCCCAACGCCGTCATCACGGCGACGTAAAATCAGCAAGACAACATCACATGGATGCCACACGGCGACAGAAGACGTGCGGCTCCGCAGCCATCCCCGACAATCTCGATCACTCGGGAGCCTTATCCGGGAAACTCGACTAGCCCGCCGGACCGAAACGACAAAACCATCCCAAAAGTACGGATACTTTAAATAACCCACCGTTCATACTTTTCCCGGCAATCCCCAAAAGATAAGCACGGCGATGTAAAGCTTCATCATCTCACTTTACACAACATCGCGCAACAAGGTAGAAAAAAAGCATGGCCGATACAATAATCAAAGAAACTTCATAAACTCCACGGTTAATGAAGACGAAAAAGCTTCACCAAGCGCACCAACCAACCCGCAACCTCATCCCACGCGCGCATAACGCCCAACCCGCCCCGACAGTCTCCGTACCTCCATACACACCTTCGCGCAGACACCCAAAAAGATGAGATGAAATAAAGCCACTATCCGCCCACAGGATGGCCCCTGCATCCCATCATCCCCCCCTCCAGCACGTAATCGGCAAGTCTTGGCTTCGAAATCAAGCAATTCATTCCGTATCCCAAACGTAAAAAAAAATAAAAAATAAAAAATAAAAAAAAATCAAGCCTCTGTGCGTCTCCAATTGCGCAATAACGGCGATCCTGGGGCCTTCCTTACCGCAGCATCATGCCGTCATGGCCAGGTGCGAATCGGTGTTGGCCCGTGGGCTCTGTCATGCTGTCTTGTCTGTAGTCAAGCACGCCAAGCAAGCAAACATGGACTCCAACTCTCATCGGAGAAGCCCAACAAACAAAGTACCTTCACCTTCGTAGATCCAACAAAGGAAAGATAATCTCACGAAAATAACAGCGGGAAAACAAGGAAACAACTCAGCCTCCCTAGTAGTAGACAAACAAAAACAAAAACCCACGAAAAAGGCAAGTAGACATGCGACAGAGACGACCACCAAAAAAAAAAAAAAAAAAAAAAGCGACAAAAGCACATGTCAAGTCAATCTGTCGCGGCAATCACACTTCAAATCTCCAAAGCCCGAATCGCACACCTAGCACCTAGCACCTGCATCAGCACCCCCCGGCCTAGTCGGGATCTGGGGCCGGACCGTGGCCTTGCTTCATCGCTTGCTCGTTCTTTTCTCCATCCCATGCGGATACTTATTTGATAATCCATTCTGCGGATTACGGATCTACCAGGACTCGCACACGCACGCACAGCCAGATTTGAACAGGCCAAGTTTCCATTATTTGTTTGTTTAGTGGAGGCTATCTACCCAAATCTAGACCCACCCTCGTCTCGCGCTTCCCAGCCCTCGACACGGACGAAGCTGTGGTGGGTGTGGAACAGTGGACAGTGTGGGTTCGAGAAAGCGGCCCTGAAAGACTCCCCTGTTCTGGGCCCTACAAGTATTGCCTGCTACGTCCATAGTAGGTACTACTACTCCGTATGCAGATGCTGACAGCTGGAGAGATCCATTCAGGGCAAGGGGGGGGGGGGGGGAGTACTCCGTAGACATTGGACGGAAATCCCGGCTTGGCAAAGAAACAAAACGGAAAAAGAGCCATTTCGTCCCCGCAGGGCCATCAGCACCGGCAATGTCGGTCTTTGTAACTGTGCTTCGCCGACGCATGAGCCATCAGGACTCTCATAACCATGACAGACGACAAGCTTGCCTAGTATTCCAGTGAATCTCTAAAATGCGCGGCATCATCGTTCCGTGTCAAAAGTGGCTCCGATACGGGACACCCGGTGCCGGAAACCCATCAAACCCTCCGCCCGAACCGGCTCCCCTCAGACCTCACAGGCTACAGCCGTCGTCCGGAGGATACCGAAACCGACCTGACAGCCAAGCGGCCAAGAGCCAGGCGAAAAGAAGCACCTGTTGCTCGGCATGCGACTCTCGATTCAGGTGTCGACAGAAACCTACTCCATCCAACTACAGAGCCCATGGCCGGGCTTCCTGCACGGCCATGCAGCTGCATGTCCTCTGGGAGTGGGAACTCCCCTACAGCTGAAATGATGAGGGTGTCGGTGATGGGAATCCGCAAATGGGCGAAAGTGGGAATTCTCTTATCGCGTCATGCTCGCTTGCCCCAGGGCCTCGGAAACGCTCGCGGCTGGCCCCCCCTCCTTCGTCCAACTCGGCTCCGTTCCCGTGCCTGAGAGTTCGTGTAGATCAGCCCGTTCAGGGCACTCGGTTCGGCTGGTTGGTTTCTCATCCCCTCCGTTTCGGTTTGGCGCGCCGCTCATCTCCCCACACTTGCTCCGTCCCTTCATCTCACAGCTTCAACCACGTCCACAACAACCTCCGGGCCATCCTATTCGGGGGGAATCATCATCAATCGTCGTTGTCTTTCTCGCGGAAAATATCCATCGTACTCTTGAACATCGTTTCATCTTTCGTCTTTCCATTCGTCGCTGGACTACTAATCTCCGCCTCTTCTCGCGTCTCATTGGTATCGGGATTTCATCCTCTGCGCCTTTCTCCGTGCGTCAAATGCTATTGTACAGTTGTGTCATTCCGTAAAAACGTCTGCTCGCTGTGTGTTGGAATCGGAAAGCCCCCTCCCAGACGCCGGCCATGACATGTCATCCATGGCGTTATGCCCTGACCCAAAATACTCCGAATAATTATCCAAAAAAATCCCCTGCTCTGTGTTTG